TTAAGTGCTTTCAGCTGTCAGTTCAATACCTTACATATCACTCTCTCAAATCTTCTTTCCAGTGAAAAAATTCAGGATTCAAATGTCAGTAACACCATAAACTTGTCAGTTTTTAGCTTCACACGCTCTTCAGATCTTTGCCCCCATTTTGCACTAAAATATCTCCATCTTTTCCCGAATAACATCTCTAAGATTCAGCTTTTCTCTCTCATTCACTTATTAATTTCTCCCAGATTTCATGATCTCATATCTTTATAAACACCTCAATTAATGTACTATCAGTCTATTGTTATACATCCAAAGTCGTTCGCCAAGATAATTGTCATGATTGCTTGCCTTGGCCATTTTATCCTCTCTTTGCCTCCCTTTGTGACTCCTGACACACAAGTCCCAGTGGGGTCCTGACCCATCCAAGGGATCTTGATGCACTACATAAACGAAAAAGAAATAGAAAACTAAAAACCTTCAGAATTACATTGTTGAACAGGTGGCAAATCACACAGAAAGAAACAAATCTGGGGCAAGTAAACAGCAATGCATCTGAAGAGCTTCATCAAGCCTGGGGAAAGCACTAAAATGAGACAAGACAAAGGAAATCACGATCACTAAACACAGACACAGGTTGGATTGTGCAGAGATCAAACAACGGGAAACACTGGTGAAATACAAAACAAATGTACACTAAACCCCATTCTGAGCACTGCCATATAAATAGACATCACTCCTTTTTTTTTTTTTTTTCTAAATGCAATCAGAATTGAAACATGGCCAGAACAAGAACTACAAGTCTTGTAAATCAAATCAAAATAATTATGGATTTATTTGTGGCAGATTTGAGAGCAATAGGATTGACAGTGGGAACTGCTGAGTCATGGCCCAGAGCAATGTGCAGCACTGAGGAGTGTTCGCTGGGACCTCACCCCATAAACCTCTCAGTGATGAATTTTGGGCTGTACTCGGACCCCCAAACTCTGAAGGCATCTGCCCCACAGATGGTGGCTGAGATGCCAAGTATTAAACTCTATTAGAGGCCTCATAAAAAGAAAACACTGATGTTAACAAGGCTCTTTCCACTGATTTGAATGGGCTTTGGATAGAGGCCTGTACAAACAAGGACGGAATTGGAAAATGGAAATACACATATATACAAAAAACTGTCAATCCAACTGTTTACCTTCCAAGGATGACCTAGTACCAATTAATTTATGAGTCACTTAAAGGGCAAGGAGGCAGATTGATATTTCTAACTGTTATCTGAATCCAGTATCTGCAAATATTGATTCTTTTTTTTTTTTTAAATTACATCCCATTACAACCCCGCTGGCCTCAATGGGATTTCTTTCTCCATTAATATTTCACAGATTACAAATATCTATATTCTCACCACCTTCAGTAATTAGCTTAAATAAGTTGAGTCCATGTCATCTGTTTTGTGCTGTGTCCTTCACTGTTCCATTTGATTTCCACTTTGATTCAAAGCTGGGGCTGATCAGGACCAGCTGCTCAGCCAAAGGGCAGATCACACGTTCCCATTCCCCCTCTTTCTTCATCCCAGCTCCCAGCCAGACTATTGTTTGCTACAATTAACTAATCCCACATGCCCTGGCTGCCAGTGAGCCTCACAAACCCCAAATTTTTATATTTACTGCATGTCCAATAAATTAATTCCACTTCTGGATAGATGCATAAACACATAGTTATAAACATATATACACAGCACACATCCTTACCCAACCAGATTTATACCTATTATTCATGGATATCTGCTTGACAACTGCTATTATTCTTTCTTGCTGGCCTCTTAACATCGAAATTTGAGAAAATATAGGTATGAATTCACATTTAGACATCTCTGTGAAGGGCCAGATTTTCAGATCTTCATTTCAAACCAATCCCTGGTGACACAGTGACATGCTAATAAGCATGAGAGTCACTGCCCTGGCAGGACCTGACCCTTGCCTGCTTTTGAGTGAGAAGAAAGGAGAAATTTCACATATTATAGCCAGAATTTTTAACACTGCAGCTCAAATCGCCTGACAAATGCAATTTCCTGCTAAAAACCCGCTGTTTTCACTTACATCTTTAACAATTGGTGACAGTTTCCCTCACTGGGTGTTTGCCTTAGGGCTTATTATGCCTATTGCAGTTCAAATAGTTCAGCTGCTCCCAAGGAAATCCTAAGAATTTTCCCATACTTAAACAAGCCTAACAGTCAGCTTGTTGAGTTGATGTCAACTGCCCAGGAGCTGGATCAAGGAGCAGGAGTTTGATGGAGGGGGATCAGTTGTTTTTTCTTACCTCTGGCTATTTTTTTTTAAACCTCACAGGCTTTAAAACCTCTTATTTCACACGGCTGGTGAAAGCTTGGAAGCTCAGCTGTGCCCAAAGGGCACAAGCCTGCTGTGGGAAGAGGGACTGAGCCATTTCCAGCTGCTTTTGGTGGTGCCTCAGGAGCCTCCACCCTTGTCCCCTTGACCTTGTGTTTCGTCTTGCAGAGGGAGAGAAGGAGGCTGAGGAAGGACCTCACCTGACTGAATGCAGGCATGAAATGAATGGGGTAAGGTGGGAAGTGAAAACCAGCAAAACAGAAGATGAATCCTGCCTGTGTCAGTTGGTTGGCCCACAGTGTAGCGTTTTCTGGGGAAGGAGAAAGTCTCTTTTTTTAAAACTTTTCTGATTCCTTAATTTCCTATACAGAAAAACGAATGTGATTCCATTTGCAAAATCTAACATTCTTAGAAAGTGACCAAATGAAGACTGTCTGCAAGACTCCACTATGCTCCCCTAGGGGCTCAGCTCCTAGTGGGAGATAGTTTGAATTTCATAATGCTGTTACTACAACGCACAAAGCAAACCAGGTTAGGACAGGATGAGCATTCCACAGGGATGAAGGTAGTTTGGCATGTCTGCTGCCTTCTCTGCAGCTGTAAGGTGCTCAGTGCAGCACGTGGGGAATGAGGAAGATGCCTGTCTGTAAAGATAAATTAACTTTGTCCTCGTGGATTGGATGATATTCTCATCACTGTCGTGTTTGGTGGAGTAAGTGTGAAGCCATGATGATGGGGAAACTGAGAAAGAGCCAACAGGGAAGGTGAAAGCAGAGCTGAAATGCAGAACATCCCACTACTGGATGGAGATATGTATTGACTTCACAAAGCTAAGGAAGAAAAACCCTGTTACCTAGTTGGGTAGCTTTAAATTCCGCATGTTTCCCATGGTCATGGAATCATGGAATGGTTTGCATTGGAAAGGATCTTAAAGACCATCTCATTCCAATCCCTGCCATGGGCAGGGACACCTTCCACTAGCCCAGGTTGCTCCAAGCCCCGTCCAACCTGGCCTTGGACACTTCCAGGGATGGGGCAGCCACAGCTTCTCTGGGCAACCTGTGCCAGGGCCTCCCCACCCTCACAGGGAACAATTTCTTCCCAATATCCCATCTAACCCTGCCCTCTGGCAGTGGGAAGCCACTCCCCCTTGTCCTGTCCCCTATCTTCCCTGCCCTCCTGATCCAGTTTGTGGAGGTGGAAAGCAGAATCTTTTTTTTTTTCTTCTTAATCTAAAAAAACCCCAAACCCCAAAAAACAAACAAACAAAAAAAATCACATTAAAACAATCTCAGATGACCTAATGTAGACTAAAATGACTGCACTGATGTAACACACTTAATAAGCCAATTCTTGAGATGGTCCAAGCAGTATCATCCACTTGGGAAGCTGCTGCCTGGCTGCTGGCCCTGAGGGAGAGAGGGCCATGGATGCCTCGTGCCTCTCCTCCCCCAAGCAAGATATTTCTGCTCTCCTCCTTGACTCTGCCTTGACTTACACTGACAAGCTGCTCTGCCTGCCCCACAAACGCTTCTCCAGATTTTAGAAATTATATTTTCTTATCACTATTTATTAGTTTAAAAGCCCATATCTTTGCTAGTCAAATGCTAATTAATTTCTGTTGGTGTTAACATTAAATTTAAAATATTTTGTTTACTACGTGCGAGATGTAACTGGGCAAAGTTAAAGCCACTCTACAACCCTTGATCCTCTGTTTTGCTGTACTAGGGGCTCTAAATCACAAAATTTGTGCCATATGCTCCAGCTGTTAACAGTAAGTTTCTATCCGAAGTAAAGGGGAGTTCAGCTGTTGGGGGGTGGGATTTGGCCCCCAAAGTTTACAGCTCTAAAGTTCATGGACCAAACTCACTCCTAAGTATCCCAAACCAGTAAAGTAGCTACCAGACAGTCAGAGAACATAGAAAGAAATTACTCTTCTTCCAGGGTGGTGCAATTAGGTCTTGATGGGAACAACTGGGTGGTAAAAACTCATCAAGTTTCTGCAAACCATAATAATTGCATATTTTCACCTAATCAAGTGCAGAAAACAGAAAATGGAATTAAGGGTGGTCATTTGATTATAAGGCATTTTTTTTTGCTGTTTAATTTCTTTATTTTGCAGGTCAAAAATTAAAGTGAGCTTGTTAGAGCTTAGTCTTCTACAGGAAGATCTCTGTTTACATATCTTCCTCTGGAGGGCTTCAGAGTGAAATCTCAAAGAAATTCACAGGTTTATAAGTAAAATTAATTCAGTAACCTCTCAGATTAAAGAGAGAAGGGATAAAGAGAGGTGTCACTATATGCAATTACCTTTTACTATGGAATCTGTCTCTGTTCTTTTGCTTAGAGAACAGCAGTTTTCACAACATGCCAGTTGTCAAATGTAATTAAGAATAATTAAGAAGGAAAAGTCCAGTACAGTAGCATGAATATATTACAACCCCAAAATAATCTCTTTACTAGATAAGGAAAGGGTTAAAAAGTAGTAAAAGTTCTGCAGATCTGTTCTGTGGAATATTAAAAATTAATGTGTTGTCATCATCATCACCACAACCACATTTATTGATATTATTGCCAAGGCTGCCATTAGCTGGATATTGATTAATGCAAAAAGTTACAGGCAACGTGAGATTCAGCAGACTCCAAACGCTGGAGGAGGAGGTGGAAAGTTACCTGGTGGCGTTTCAAGAATCGGTTTTCCTTTTTTGTTGTTCTTCTTCGGTTTTAACTCTTTCCTGCTGGGTTTGAACCGCGGGTGCTCCTCTGTCTCTGCAGCGCGGTGAGGTCCTTCCTCTCCAGGTTGCTCCGTGAAAGGAAAAAACTCTTCCCCAGGATATGGAAAGGAATAATAATGATCCCTGTTGGTAATTTCCTGCAGGTAATAATCCTGATCGTCCATGGGTACAGCCCGGGACACATCCCCCAGCAGCGCCAGCCCAAAGGTGCAGAGAGCGAGGCAGAGTTGAGAACATGAGCCTTTCTTGCTACGGGCAATCATCGTTCGCTTTTGCAGGAATCTCCTCTGCGAGTGCTGGAACTTTATTTGGAAAGAGGGAAAAGAGAGTTTTGGCAGCTGCCAGAGCCCCTCGAGGAGAGGCAGAGGCTGCCTGTGGGAAGTGCCTCTGCTTTGGGCGAGTTTGCAGGAGTTGCGAGGAGCGCAGCGGGACGGGGCTGCGGAGGGAGGGGGCAGGACGGGATTCATGTGATCCTCGGGATCCTCAGCCAGAGGGACAGACGGACAGACAGACAGACAGACAAACGCTCCGCTCCGCCGGCGTTTGCCAGGTGGGATCCCCAGCACCGTCAGCTTCGCTGCTTTTCCTCTCCTGCCTCGCAGTTTTGGGCGGTCGGTGCTGCTTTCCCCCAAGCCCAGAGTTAGGCGACAGTTCCCGCTTATCCCCCAAACAGTTTCTTTAGTCTTCCCACGCGCGGCTGATCCACGAGAGGGTTTATTGGAAGAAAAGTAAACTTGGCAGCCGGCCTGCTCCTCCCAGCCCGTGTCCAGAGGGTTTCCCTGCCCCTGGAGATGCTGCGCAGAAGGGGGTGGGCACACGGAGCCTGTGGCTGGCAGGGGTCACCTGCTGGCCCTGCCACCTGGACATGCAGGAAGGTATATGGGATGTGGGTTGCTGACAAATAATCCTCACCCCATATATGTTGTGCTGTATTCCTTTTTGTGGTATGTTTTTTTCCCCTTTTGGCTTTTGCAAAGAAGAATCCCTCTCCAGCACCAATCTCGGCCTCCCTTGTTTGTATTAGTTTACATTTACATGACATCAATAATTTATATATATATAATTTATATATATATAATTTATATATATACAAGTTGTATATAAATTATATAAATTATATTTACATTTATAGGACACGAATAAGTTGTATGTAACTTAAGTTAGTTTATAGATATAAAAATATGTTTAAGTTTATGTATAGCTGTGTTATTTTATAACAACTTATAGCTTAAATAATATAGTTTAAATAACACAGTTTTATATAAGCTTATAGTTTGTAGTAGATTATTTCATAATAATTTACAGTAAATTATCCATAACTAATATAACTTGACAAGTATCATGTGTCAAGTTATAAGAGACTTCTCCTGGGGTATATGGCAAATCTCTGGAGTCAGTCCAAATGAAAACCAGAAAGAACATTGTTCATCAGTGGCCCTTTTTCTCATTCTTTTTGGAATGGTCCTGACATTTGTTCTCTCTGAAACATCTTCCCAACAGCCCAGGATGTTTTGTGCTACACACATGCAACCCAGTGTCGTTAATGAAATCAATTTGTCTGAGAGTAAAATCTTATCTTTCATCTTTTTCATACCTCTAAAATAACCTTCAGTGCTGAAGGAAATATGCAACAGTTGGCTTGCATGAAATATGAATTCCTACTCCTGTGTTGAAAATACCAGCTTATATTTTCATCATGTATATTGTATTTCTTGCCATGGTCCAGTCAGCTGGGAGAAAGTATTGCATCTGTTGCCCAGTCTTTATTCTTCCTTTGTGCTCACATTTTTTGTGTGTTTCTCATAATTTTAGTACCATAATAAACAACATTTTATATCTCAGTACCTGTATCTTATGGTGTATTTGGTTTCCAGACTGTGGGTGATCCTGCCCATATATACAATTATCATCCTTGCTTTCTTAGTTGCAACCCCAAAGGGAACTTAGTCATTATACTGCGTCTGTTGTCCTTCCTTTTAGAAAAATGTAATTCTATTTTTGTCCTTAATTTTTACTTTTTAAAATTTAAATCAAAATTATATGTTTTTTCTTTAATTTAGGAATTTTCATATTCTAAAACTAGAATAAAATGTACTTTGCTTTTTCACTGCTTTGCTGAGTTATATATATATACATATATATATATATTTTAACTTCATTTGAGGAAAAGCTACTTGTTCCCTGTGCTCAGGGACAGGCTGAATATCCCCTTTTAGAGATTTCACAGTTGTTCTTACTTTGTTTTCCCTCTCCAAAGTATCCAGTCCTTTCTTCCCTTGGTCCTGACTTCTGAGGGCAGAGCACAAGCTACAAAATATGTGCATAATTTTGTTGCCATTTGCAGCACAGTCACTCTTGTGCAAATAATATGAACGTTCACATACCTAGAGAAGAAGTAGATAAATAAATTTTTCCATGACATCATTAAGGACTTGGGTTTTTGGTAACTAGAGGAGCTTTAGCTGCAAAATCACTATTCAACTCATTGCAGTGATCATAGAAGGACACACAGAAACAGAAAATTTCCAAGCATAACAAGTGATATTTTTTGTAAAATATAAAGTCAAGTGTACATTAATTAAAGACCTGAGGATTGAAATTTGGGGATATTTTACATTATATGCATTTCACAATTTTACATGTGTACATTTCAACAAGGTATGTATATAAAGATCGTGTGTTTTCTCTTCTCTATGATACCTGTTCTACAAAGAGACAACTGTGTGGGCTTTAATTAAAATTAATCTTATATACTATAACATGATGTCTCCCTTCACTAGGTGAGAATGCAGAGTAGCTGTATATAAAGAGACATGTATGACTATAGCTGCATAGAGTATAGCAGCAAAAATCTTCTCCTGACAAGGGAAGACCTGAACTTAAGCAATACATATAAAAAAAGATACATTTAAGTGACAAAAATACCCACCCAAATGTTACCCACATCACACACCATTATCTTACCACTGTCTACAACTCCCTGGCAGGAGGCTGAAGCCTCATGGGGGTCGGGTTCTTCTCCCAGGGAACAAGTGACAGGATGAGAGGAAACAGCCTCAAGTTGTGCCAGGGGAGTTTAGGTTGGAGATTAGGAAATATTTCTTCACCAAAAGGGCTTTCCAGCACGGGCACAGCTGCCCAGGGCAGTGGTGGAGTCCCCATTCCCAGGGGAATTTAAAAGACCCGTAGATGTGGCTTGGAGAGCCATTTTCTGTGAGCCGTGGGGATGTGCCCACCAGGACACTGCAAGGCACTCAAGGACAGGCAGGTTTTCCTGCACGACTCCACTTCCACAGGCAAGAACTTTGCAGAACATCAGGCAGTGCCACACCCACTCCTCCACCTCCTGCAGTCACTGCAAATAACCCTCCTTGTCTCTCTGTGCTTACCTTAAGAAGGATTTGTTCATCCAAACACACCTATCAATGTCTATTCCTGGGTATAAAACTCTGTCAATCACCAGGTCCCCTATATTTGTTTCACTTGAATTTTAATACTTTCTGTGGATGTGGATGCACATATGGATGCACTGCTGCCCCTTCCAGCCCCACCTCTGGTTTTGGGGTGTCCATGAATACAACCAGCAAAGTCTGTCTCTAAGCAGAATTTTTTTTACTTGACAGTGAGATGTTTTTACTTTTTTTTTTTTTTTTTAATCTGTCAGCATCCTAGAAGGATACAACTTAGAGGAAAGGAGATGTTTTCTCTTTTTGGAGTGGCACAGGAGTATTAAGTTCACTGAAGGCTCAGATGTTTTGGGCCTGGGGCTGTTCCTTTTGCCTGTGAAGTATCACGACAGCTTGTAAAAACTTGCAGTTGATGTGGAAGGAGATAAAGCAAACTCATATTTTTGTAGAGCAACTGGAACCAGCCTCATCCTCCACTCCTGAACTGATGCCAGTGATAGTGTATAAGTCATTCTACACTTTGCTTTAAATCTTTGTCCTGCTGAAGTGAAACACAGCATGCTGTAATCTGCAAACAAGCAGCGTTTTCTCCCTCTGTTCCCAAGAAGGATTTATTTAAAAGATGATGGTTTAACCCCTCAGCTGGGGTAACATTTCTCAAACCACATATTTTGAGCCAATTTCACAATACCCCAGAAAAAAGAGGCACTCCCAGCTCTTCTTTGCCCCTTGCAACCTCCCTCCTGGGAGAGATTTAGATTGGATATTAGAGGAAATTTCTTCATGGAAAGGGTGGTCAAGCATTGGGACAGGCTGCCCAGGGCAGTGGTGGTGACACCAGCCTTGGAGGGATTTAAAAAACCTGTAGATCTGGCACTTGGGGACATGGTTTAGTGATGGGCTTGGCAGTGCTGGGTTAATGCTTGGGCTCGATGATCTTAGAAATCTCTTCCAACTAAATGATTCTGTTAAGTTCAGATTCAGGAGTGTATTTTCACTTAAGAGAGTTAGAGTTGTATGTCTAAGCACAGTCCTTGTTCAAGACCTTGATTTGTATTTATACGACGCAGAAAAGGATCACACATTTACATTTAATTCAACTTCAAGCAACTTTGTGACTCCTGCAACTTCTCTTTGGAATATGTGCATCTTTTTTTTTATCAGAGTAAAGCTCTGTGATTGGAAAGCAAAGACAAAGAAATAGGCATCTCTGTTTCCCTCCCATTCCACAGCAACTTTCTGAGGTAGCACATAAGGTTTCTATATGCTTTGGCAACAAAATGACTCTAAAAATAACTTTCCTTCTGAAGACCAGTGAAGTTTCTGTTCCTTTGTACTTCAGATCTGTACTAAATCAGGAAGCACAGAACAGAGCAAGAAAATAGAATTACACTTTTTAGAGTCATTTTCTTTTCCACAGAAAGCGTTTTACTCTTGCTGTCAACAAGGTCAAACCTGCTCAGAGGAAATGGAAACCCAAAACTGACACTGGGAAATACAAAGTAAACTGAATTGAACATTTGTATGTCCCTTTGATGCCCATTTCTTACATATGTAACAGAGACAGGTGTCAAGGTTCTGCTTACCTGTGTATCCCTCCCATGTATCCCTGGGGTATCCTGGCATTTGAAAGCCCATTTACACATGTTGAAAGAGTGGTTCTTTACCACAAAAATGGAAACATAAACAAGCTCTCACATGGAGATGTTTTAGTCAGTTTTAAGATACATTGAATTTAAAGGGAATATATTTTACCAGGTGAGGAATGCCAGATATACATGGAATCTTAATATTTGTCTCTGAGCATATGCAATAATGATACAAAATGTGAATTATCCTCATGAACAGGCTGCTGTTTCCTTTGGGCAAACAGACTTTAAAATAAACTGATGACATTAATGAAGGCAATTATTTCCTTCATCAGTTGTTTGCTTTAACTGCTTAGAAATGCAGTGTGTATCCCAACAGGGGAAATTAGCCCAGTGCATTCTCCCTAACTTTTCTCCTAAGAACAACATGACCTTCAGATAATCATTCAGCATATTGCCTTTGTGCTCGTGTCTGAAGAAGGAGCTCAGATTGCCATGGAAACAAAAGTTCCTTGTTCTCCTATACTTCCCTGTGCTATGATAACACTTTCACTGTATGAACCCTTTTCTTAGCCAGAAGGGGAATTGTGGGATTTTTGTGTTTTGAGCACCTCAGAGTGATGGATCAGTTCATGACAGAAATGCTCTGGATGTCAAGCAGAGACTTCACCCAGCATCATT